GTCCTCCATGTTTGGCAGAACTGATTGACCGATCCCAGATCGACCTCAGTCAGAAGAAACACAAGCTCTAAAGTGCACGCGGACTGCAGTTCCCCAGCAAGGGCCGCTCGTGCCTCGCAGGCGGTTTGCGCGAGGGCTGGCCCGGTGGCCCGCAGGCGGGGGCTGACCTCGAGGAGGGCGTCCAGGTTGAGCAGCGTGGCAAAGGGCTCCTCCACGTGCAGGCGCTCCGGGATGAGGCTCATGTACAGCTGGAAGTCGAGCGCGGGGAGCGCCATCAGGCCCTGCACGCAGGCCACACCACCGCTGCCAGCAGGCTCCCCCGCACGGACGGGCCACCAGCCAGACATGCAGGCCGGGGGCAAGCAATCGAATGGGGCACAAAGCCAGGTGCAAAGCATAGCCCCAGTCTCGGAGACGAACGTAATGCTCGTCAAAATTCTGGGCCGCTTCAACAAGCCTTCCTTTTTGTACCCAGTGGTGCGAACGTAAGGAGCTTCTGACGAGACTGAGACGAAAATTGTGCAAGAGCAGTGGTGTAGGCTCAGAGTGTGTTCGCGCACCGTTCCTCTGACCAGATGCCACCTGCCAGTGCCTTACCTTGACCAGGATGCGCGCCACAGCATGGATGTTCACGCTCGCAGGATTGAACTGCACCAGTAAGGAGCGCACTCAAACCTTGCTCTCTGCCAGCGCACAGGTCTCAAACCTCTCCCAAGTGATTGCAGTTCTGACGGGCTGACGTGTCAACCAATGACCGAAAGTCGACAAGGACAATTCAAAAGAGCTCTTGTCAGCACGGACAGCGGTAATGGCCGAGCGCCAGCACTTGCAGGCCTAACCGACCAGCTCTGGGCACCACTGTGGCGACGGCAGCTTTCCGCACGGGGTTGTCCAGTCTCACAATCTGCGAATCCAAGGAAGCCCAGGAGCAAGGGACACCGCTTACCTGATATAATCGCAGGAGGCAGAGGTTTGCGTTGAGATCGTAGGTCTCAGATACAATCTGCACAGAAACAAGAAAGTTGGACGGCAGTTCCAAAGAAAGAACTCTGTTCAAATGAGCACAGCGATCTGGCCAGGCCCCTCTCTTGCAAGCAAGGAGCCCCACGTACAAACTCAAGCTTGAAGTCAATGGGCACTACAATGCTTACCTGCTCTTGCACATAATCCTCCAGGTCAGGAAGCACGTCCGGATTGTCTGCAAATCACATAGCGAGTGAGTCTGATTGCAGCAGCTTCAAATCCTGCGAGCACCACCATTAGGGTGTACCCATCGAACTGAACTCACCAATCACCAATTACCTTCCCACTGGTCCAATGTCCATTGACAGAGATGTTGCAAACCAAGTTGTAAAAAAGTTTTACCCCGCTTCCTTTCTTGTCCTCATAACCTTTCTACCGCGAATTCCCATCCAAATCACAGCGATGCGCCTTTGCTCACATTGTGCATGGCTGAGGATCTGGTGCACTCGCCCCTTGAGCGACTGCCGCTCTGCTGCCTCCTGCTTCCTCTTGCCCCAGTGGTCAGTGCTGCTCGCCATCCTGGCAATGCAGGGCCTGGGAGACACGCACACTGCCGGCAGCGCCCACAAACAAAGGCCCAGGGCACACACAGGACGACGTCAAGTGGCGCTCTGACCGTGGCCCTGGGCAACTTCACGATTTTGACAGCTCGAAAGTTCTCACAATGACAAGAGAGTCACAAGTTCAAATCGCAGCGGCGGCAGAGCGGTTACTGCAGGGAGATCCGAAGTCCAGTCTTGAGGCACTCTCATTGTCAAGAGTCAAGGTGGCTTGGAGCCTTGGACTCTCGAGCCAAGAAAATTGCAAATCGTGCACACGACCAGTGCAGCCTAGCGACAGGAACCATCATGCAGGAACTACAGACCTGCTTCCGATCTTCACATTCACCTCATCACTGTTCACCAGATATTGTTGGCGCTCTGCTGTGGGCATCAGCTGCCAGCAGATACAAAAGTACAGCAGGCAATCAGCCTGAACAGCAGGGCAAGTAAGATCTCTCATTGTCAATGTTTGCATGCCGCTTTGTGTATCACCTTTGGAGAGATTTACCTCCTAGTCTAGGGCATGAAGCGCGGGGTGCGAGCGGTGTGCCTGGCATGGCTGGTGGTCGTGCTGGCTGTTGCGGAGGGTGCCTTTGAGTCGGACGAGCTGGAGTGGGAGGCGGAGGAGGCGCCGCTGCCCCTGCCCAAGGAGCTGCCGACCGCCACCACTCGCGCACCGGGCGCAGCGGCCCAGGACAGCGCACGGGCAGCGGGCGGAGCGGGGGCGGGGGACAGCGGCGACGCGGGCGTGGTGTTCCCCCTGGAGCACAGCCTGGACGGGGTCACCTTCACACCGGCGGGCGAGTTCAGCGCCAAGCTGAGGCCCGTGGCAGGCCAGGTGGGGTGCACCGAGAGAATTGCACACCTTGTTTGTTGCTTTCTGTGCACTGCTGCGCAGTGTTGGTTCCCCGGCTGCTGCTGCTTGCATGGTCTACAACGAGACCAGATCATGCGTTCAGGCTGGGCTGCCAGGAGCAACATTGCGCGTTGTTTTCTCAAACTCCATTCTGTGGGCCACCGGTGGTGTCTGGCTGAGTCCTCACAGTGCCCCTCTGATTAAGCTGATTGGTGTGCCTGGACACCCATGCTGCATCCCGGCTGTGCCACCGGCCCTGACGCGCTGCTCTGTGTGTTGCGTGCGCTGCAGGCTGTCCCCAAGCTGACGCGCGTGCGCCTCGCACGCCAGCCGTGGTCGCCTGCGGAGCAGCGCGCATTTGTGGACCTGATAGCACGCAATGGCTACTACCGCCTGCGCGTCCCCGCCCACGTCTTCTCGGCTGCGGGCCCCCCCTACGTGGTGACGGCGGTGCGCGCAGCGTGCCTGGCGGACGCGCGCTTCAATGAGCACTTTGACCTGCACGTGGACACCGCCGGCCACGTCCTGGCGCTGGGCTACAAGACGTTTGTGGACTGCACCAAAGCCAGCGGAGAACCGGTGAGCCTGCACGCCCTCGACTTTTCCTCGGGCCATCCCCAAATGATGAAGGATCTTGCAGCTAGCACCAGGGCCTATCGCCTGCCTGACTGTGTGGGCTTGGAAGCTGGGTCGTTGAGATGCTGGGGCCTCGCGGGCTGCTCCATGGAGCTTGCGGATGCCGCCCGCTGATGCGCGCGTCCTCTGTCTGTGGGTGCAGCCGCGCGAGTGGACGTTCAGCAGCACGGCCACGGTGCGCTCCAGCCTCACAGCCCCCAGGTCAGCCGCGCCGCACGGGGCCCCTGGGCGGGGCGGGGAGTGGGAACGTGCTGCGCAATAGAACGTGTGCGGGGCAAGCGTGTCAGAGGGAGGCCCCCATCACATGCCTTCTGGATCCGACGTGGTTCCATGTCTGGACATCTTGTGGCAAGGCTGGACTTGTTGCTGCCGCTGCTGTGCCTCTGTTCTGACTGCCGGGGGGGTTGCGCTGCAGGCTGGCGGCCACGCTGAGCAGCATGGACGCCCTGAAGCCGCCCAAGGCGCCCAAGCTGCCGCCGCGGGTGGAGGGGGGCGGGAGCGGCAAGGACGGCGAGGCAGCGGGCGGGGAGGGGGATGAGGAGGAGGAGGAGGAGAAGACGTTCTTCCAGAAATACGTGAGCGCCGGACAGCCAGCTCGCCAATCAACGACTTGGGTCGATGACCGCAAGCCTGAAGCTTGTTTTCGGGCTCGCTCTCTTGGGCTGCGCACACAGTCGGGTTGCGTGCGCTGCCTCTATTGCCCTCATCGTCTCGTCCTTGAGAGGTCGTGCTGCTGATCTGTTGGTTGTTCTACGCGTACAGTGGCTGTACATGATCCCCGCGGGCCTGCTCCTGCTCAACATGATGGCAGCCGCGGCGCCGGACGAGGCTGCGCAAGGGGCATCGCGGAGGTGACAGGCAGAGAGCCAAGCCTTGGTCAGAGTGACCATGTCTGGGTTGTGAGTCGGATGACGCTTCCCCTCTACGGTGCCTTCCCTACATGAACAAGGGTTCGATGGACTCGATGATCCAACTATTAATACTAGCACGTCGTTATAAAGCTGTTCTCTGCAATGTTATTTTGGCATGGCTTACGGCTTCTGGTGTATGGACATGCTTTGGTCATTAGTACAGGGAGCTTATCATGTTGAAAGCATCCAAGGCTTGTCTAACGAGTGTGTCGTGACATTCTGGCGGCCAGGGCCGATCCAATCACGTGGACAGCCTCGAAAGTGCCTAGAGTCGTCTGTTTGCAGTCGCCCTGGCGTGTGACTACCGTGCCTAGCCGGGCCAGCATGCAGCCTGAGTGACTGCTTGTACATATGACGGCGCAACTTATCACCCTTGACTGCATTCTACACCGATCCATGGTATGTATGATCGAGTCCATCATCGGCTTCATGGCCTAGGTGTATGGCGACAAGGAATGAATCAGCATGCTCTCTCGCGACATATCATTAATTTGAATAGCCGTCTCGTTAAGGACTACGCGTGAATACCTTATATATATACACATATGATCACGTCTGCGAGGTGATTCAGTATGGCCGCTTTAAAAAGCTTTGATCATGATTTCCTCACTACGGAAACTGTCACTTTCAAGTTTGATTCAGTCGTGGTGCTATATGTCTGTAACGATGATGCATGGATTCAGCCTATTCAATATACCCACTGTCCAACTCCCACAGTCTTACAAAAGCTTTTGAACGGTTGTGGTATTAGGGAGCAACCCTTTAACCGATGCCAACTCAATATCCAATATTTACGCCCACATTCGTTCGTCAAATACTGCTGATGCTTATAGAGTTCATGCTCCAAGCGGTAGCCTGTTGCAGGACAACGGAATTGGATCCATTGTTGAAGAGAAACACTCGCGCTTCTTGATCCATGGCTCCGAGCGGGTACGAACGTGTTGTAACGACAGTGTGGCCCTTTTCCGCAAACACTTCAACCACCGAGTGGTCAACCTGCAGCAAGACGTCTCAAGTGAGATCGAAGTTTCAGTCCCATTCTCGGGCACATGATCTTGACAGAGAGGCATGGACTGTGCTGTCAGCTTCTTCGTTCTCAGATCGGTTTGCATCAACTTCCCAGCTGATTGTGAGGGTGCCTTTCTGGTCAGGCAGGTACGTTCATCATTTTAATGTTTGCTCTCACTTCACGAAGTATCAGATGAACCCTGTCTCTGCCAGCATTTCTAGCGTTGAGACTCCTCCGTTCTTGGGCAGCGGCATAAGACTTTCTGAGGCCCCTAGCGGCACGGTGGGCAGCTCCTTACGATCACTCTCATGCTCAGCGTCGCCCCGTCCCCTTCCCGCCTGACCGCGCTGCCGTAGACGCCCCGGTCCGTGTCGGGGGCCAGCGACGCGGCGCGCAGGTCGGTGCAGACGCGCGCCACCGCGGCAGTGCCGTTGCGCGCCAGCTCGAAGTAGGCCGCCGTCCGCTCCGCCCCGGCCGCCAGCACCGCGACGCCGAACGGGCCCACCGCCAGCGCGCCGCCGCCCGCCGACCCCTCTGCAACAGGCGGCCAAACAACTTGCAGCGGTCGAGAGAGACTGGCAACGACGAGGCATTCCAGCTGCTTCACGTGACGACGACGTCCTCGCCGAGGGGTCCAGTCCGCAGATACTAGCGGCCGCGCAAAAGACTGAAAGCTCACGAGCACGGACCCCTCCTCCCGCATCTAACGGAGCTGGTGCTAGAGGCAGTGGCCGTTTTCGCCAAGCACTGCGCGCTTTTGAGGAGGGCTGCATGCGTCACCTGGGCTGCAGCGGGACGGCTCGCTGGCGGCGGATGCGGGGGGCGGCGCTGCGGCCTCGTCCTGCGGGGGCAGGGTGAACGCCAGCTCCAGGTCCAGCTGCACGCAACGGGCGCCGCGAGCAGTCAGCCGGGAAGACGGGAAGAAGGCCCCTCAAATCTGACAGCCTCAACTTGAGGAAGCCGTCGAGAACTGCGAGACGGAAGCCACGAAGCTGTGCCGCCCGTGCGAAGCCACAACCGGGGCTTGCGGCCCTGACCTGGCAGCCCGCCACTCCCGGCAGCTCCAGCCGCGCCCCCGGCGGCAGCGTCACGTTGCGCAGCGTGGCCGCGTGCTTGCGCAGCGCGTCCACCTCCGCAACGGGCCACTGCACAATGTCCGCCCCGTCCGCGGCCAGCTCCACGGCGCGCGGCAACGCCTGCACACAGCGCGCCACACGCGCTCACCAGGGGCAACAGCTCGAAGGCGGGCGGAGTGCGCAGGGGCCCCCCAGGCGGGCACGGAACGACGTGCGCCCGTGACGGGAAGTTCTGCAGGCATTCATCGGGGGGCCGTTCGACGAAGTGAAGCAAAGCCAGCCGGCAGCCGCGCCGCCGCGCCACCTACCTGCACCGAGGCCCAACCTCGCCTGATATTGCTTTGCTGCGAGTCGGTTTCGTAGATCCACCCGAACAAGACACGCCGCCCCTTCACGGGATCGTAGAACGACTTGGAAGCATAGTACTGCACGGGAAAAAGGGCGGCGACAGGGGTGGCTGTCAGCAGCAGATGCAAATCGCGGTCGGCATGGCGGCAGCTATGGCAGGGTACCCAGCAGATCTGGCCACAGGCGCTTCCGCCCTTCTCGTGCCTTGCAGCATGGAAGGACACCGGCTGTGCACACCGGCCGGCTTGACACCCCGCGTTTGGCACGCAGCTGTGGCCCGCAACGGACCTTGCCGTAGTCGAGCAGCCTCCCCTGGCTGACGTCGTCCGGCCCGCGCGGCGCCCAGGTGTCGGTGGCGGCGTCATAGCTGCCGAGCGCGTACGAGTCGGTCAGCGTGTGGTCGATGCTTGCCTTGAGCACGTACGGCGTGCCGGCCGGGTGCACGCCCAACGGCAACCCCGCGTTGTGAGCGACAGGGAACAGATCTAGAACCACGGGAGGGCCCTCGTCAGCGGGCAGGCCCGGCGCGCAGCAAGCAGCGACGCAGGCCGTGCGAACAGGTGTACACTCGCATCCGGCAAGGCATGCATTATATCTAGCGCTCTGGATCGCGATTGATAGCGTAAGATGTCAAGGTGAGCTCTCGAATCCAGCACACATACCAGTGGCGAAAAGGGTACATCGGCAACTCACCTGGGCACTCCCACATTGGGGAACCTGCGAATATAGGAATGCATCACATCAAGGTTCAGTCTTCAATGATCAAGTTTTCCTTTCGCCCTAACATTTCATTGAAGAATCAAGATTGAAGATTCAAGGTCAAGAGATTCAAGAGACGCTTGCACGCTCTCGGACGTCCTGAAGACGGCAGGCTGAGTTCTCCACGCAGTGCTGGAGCCCTAGCGAGCCCGTGTGCCCGCGTGCACAGGCGGGGAGGTGGCCGTACCTGGCACCGCGTGGAGGGGCGCGCTGGTCGGCGTCCAGGTGCGGAAGTCGGGGCTGCTGTACATCTGCCAGGTACGAAAGAAATAACGCTGCTCTCAACCCGGAAACTTGGTACGATTCGCCAAAACGGTTGATGCCACGACAAAAAAATCTGCAAAGGCGCATTCGAAGGCCAGAACTGCAGGGCCGCAAGGTTCAAAGTACCCCTTTCCATTGCATCGGCGCCTCCATTAAAGGAGTCACGTTTAACGGCATTGGGTTCAACGGGCGACTCTGATGTCCGGCGCACTGTCTTCACGAGGCCAAGTGTGGATCTCTGAGAGCCGGTGCCCCCACCAGTGCCGCGCCAGAGCCGGCGAGCCGCGCCCCCACGAGCATGCGCCATCTGCCGTCTCCGGCCAGCCACTGCCATCAGACGGGCCACTCAGGGAGTCAGACGAGCCGCAGCCAGCAAAGTCGACAGCGTGGGATGCAAGTCTGCAAGCACAACAGACCGCAGAGGAGAAGAAAAGAATCTGACCAACGCAGCTGACGACGGCTGCTTCGCTAAGGAAACGTACCGCGGTCGTCGGATCCCGGAAATCCAGGTTGTTCACACCCGGGGGGGGAGATATCACAGGATTCTGCGGCGACTTTTTCCATTGACGCAGCAGAGGATCTGCAGCATCCACTGGCGTCGCCAGATTTTGAACCTGCAGGAGGGGCCGCCAAGAGGGTCCGTCAGGTGACGGTCGCGTAAATTGTTGGAACGCCTACACTACCCAGTGGGGCCGGCCATCAAGCGAGACGGCGACCTGGAGAACAGCCACGGACGGAGTGTGGCCAGACGGAATGGGACGTGCGAGTCACTGGACTGACGCAGGGCACCCGTCTGGCAAACGGCACGGGCAGCCGCCGTGGCCAGCGTGGTGCATGGCAGCATGGCAGCGTCGCTGGGCATCCCCGCGAGGGCTGGGCGCGGGCTGGGGGCTGACCTGCACCGACTGGTTGGTGAGCCCCGTGTACACCAGCACGACGCTGCCGTCCTGCAGCACGGTCGCAGACCCGGACCTGCACGCAAGCAGGGGCACGGCGTGAGCGGGACGAGGGGGAGGGGCGACCAGAAGGGCCGTGGGCCAATGGCGAGGGTGTCGCTGAGAAGAGTGCGGAAGGGGACGTAAGCGAGTAGGACGTGCTAGGGCCCAGTTGTCACTTGGGGAAGAAAGAACCAGCATGTGCTGAGCTGTGCTTTTTGGACTTTGATCTTAGACAGCACTTTGTTCAGGTTTGACAACTCCAAGGTGTATGCGGGACCAATACCCCCTATTGCATTTCAGAACGTAATTCATTTGGATTGCAAAGGAGCTTGTCTGGGCAAGGCCCGAAAACAAGACTGATAGTCTGGAAAGGATGCTTTCAAAAAGCAAGCCTGGCTGAAGTGTTGCTCAAATGCCTGATGGGTTGATTGCAGACTCACCAGACCCCCTGCCGATCGTACCATTCATCTGGCGCGAGCGCTGCAGGTTCAGAAGCACGAAAGTAGAATTCGTATCGACAAAAGCATAGAGACATGTTGCCAGCAGATTACCCTTGTTCCCTAACAGAACGCCGATTTGCTTTGAACTTTCAAATGCGAGTGCAGATCAACCTGAGCTGGTGATTGCAAGTTGGCAAGAGCAAAGCTTCCAAACTGACTGCCGAGGTTCTACGCGTACATTGTGCAGCGATGCCATGTAGCCTGGAGGACGGGACGCCTACCAATGGGACCCGTGTTCCAGTGGATCAGGTCACTGGAGACGGCATGGCCCCTGCACACAAGATCTGGATACTCACATCTCATCACAGCCAGGAAACCACTCTCATCTCAGAGTATGTCATCTGAGCTTTCTTGAGCAGTGCCAGGACTTGCTGCGCCCTATGCTCCATTTTACGCAGGTACCTCATTCACACAGGTAGCTCACATTGTTGACAGGATGCCTAGCGATGGGGTTGACAGGAATCAGCGTTGAACTGTGTAAGCTTAGAAGATGAAAGGAGTTTACCATGTAATGTTTCCCCAAACTGCAGCGAGGCCGTTGTACTGCAAGTCCATGACAGAGAATCTTTTGAGCAGTAGGGCTAGCTTACAGCATCCATACTTCCTTCAGGAGTCAGCTACACCTGTAACCATTTGACCTCAATCTGCACTCAGACTATGTCAACGGTGTCTGCTTAACTGATACCAAGGCTTGTCAGACAACTGAGCCAAGTTGAGAGCTGTATACCTTCCAGACCTTTTTGACATTCAAAAGGTCCTTAGTTTGGAAGCACCCTCTATATGCAACTTGCAAGATACGGGATTGATGACTCGAGCATACCTGAAAGAACAAGTGATAGTAGCCTTTGTAGAAGACCGGGCCTGCAAGGGGGGGAGATCAAAACAGATTGGTGCTGCTATCATTGTGCACAGAAGACGTGAGTCAGGACATGTTTGCAGGGTCAGTGGTCGGACAGTGGACCAGGTCTGCGGCACGTCAATCTGAATGGTGCGAGTTCTGTGTGCAACACTGAAGGTGGGGAAGCCGGCCTTGAGAGGCCAGCTAGACTGGCAGTCATGTGAGGCAGGGTCCGAGTTGCAGCTGAAAGGGGCTCACCATTTGGATCATTCATCCAATGACCATCAGGTGGTTGAAAGTGAAACGCCGAGCGGTAGCTTGCTGCCAGAGATGGCTTGTGCTTGACTGCGTGCTTGCCGGTAGTGAGCTCCAGTACAATGCCAAGGCCCAACACTAGAAGAATAACTATGGCAATTGCAAGCATGAGAACTTTCCTTTGCTCATACACTGCCCTTCTCCATCGCGCTTGTCTTGAGACAAGACGATGAGGCCAGAACTCTTTTTCCGGGCCCTCATTGCTGATGTCCAGTGTATGTCCCAAGATCTCCGCCTGATGGAAGGACGCATCATGAGATGCTGTAACATAGCCTGCCTTCGCTACCTCATTGTCTTTATCCAGGATGTCGATGCTAGCACTGTCTAAATTTCCCTGCTCCGGAAGCAAGCTTATTGCATCTTTCTCCTCCATCGGTTAGGCAGCTCATACGCCTACAACATGAATGTAAGCCTCTGACTTTTTTGAGATAGTTGACAGCCTTCTAAGGAGCCAGGAAAAGCTCTCGAAGCATGCCCCTCTGTTCCAAGTTTACCAGCTGCCGAGGAGGGAATACATATTAAGAACTTTCAGCCCCGGCAGTGCTGGTTTCTCATTTCCTGAGCGCAGGGACCGAGATCACATGGTTTTCCGTCGATAGAGCCCCAGCAAAGCGCCCAGTCCTAGCAGCATGCTGTGAATTCATCCGCTGTAAATTTGCATGACTCAGATTTTAGGGTTTGACTTTTGACATGCAGATCTATGCACAGTCTCGTTCGGCCTTCACACGCTGGCTGTATAATACCTACGGTACATGATAAGTGCCGTAGCTGTAAACGGCAGGTCTAAGTGTCCTGTTCACGTATCCAGTCCCGTCCGTCGAGGTCTACAGCTGTCCTGAGACGTGAGTGAGTCGTTACAGCAATTTCCGGGGCAAGCTTCCCGGTTGCGATCGATAAATACATACAGTAGGGTGCCCTATCTATCGATCGCAAGTTGCAACCGGGATGCTTCTTCCGAAACTGCTGTTAAAATGTTTCAGCCCAGCTGGAGCGAGTAAATAACATTGTGAGAAACGTTGTGCCGGCAGAGAGCCCTCGTCAAGATAGACGGTTGGAAAGCCGGCATCAACTGGCCAATGCCTCTGAACGATACAACCTAATACGGTACCATGGTACCGTACACAGCTAGTAGGCGGTATGGTTTCGGGTGTGTCGTACCCCGTCGGCGCTGGTCAAGAGACCGTAGGTAGGTAGGTACCGGTGCGGTGAAGGCTCTAGTCTAGAGAGTACCGCGGTAAGACTTCGCATGTGTATAATATGTAAATAGGTACCTAGAAAGGCAAAATCCCTAGCCACAGCCAGCAGGGCTCTGCATGTTTCAATGTGTTTGCCATAGGTACGCATGTTTTCCATTGCCCTTTCGCTTAATATCTTGAAGTTGTAAACCGTAGCTGGGTCCAAGACTCCGAGTGGGTCCAAGTCGCAGAGCAAGAGATTTCGCTAAGCTGAGCTTCAAATTCTACGTTCTATTGTTCTAAGCCATCCGCAATGGGTATCACTAAGCCCCTCGGATGTGCGGTGCTGGTGCTGCTGGTGCAATTTCTGAGGGGCGTGCATAGCGGGGGCATGGCTAGCGCTATATCGACTGACGGCATGCGTTTTGTGGATGCGGAGGGCAGGACTGTCATCCTGAGAGGGTTCAATGTCGCCGGCGATGCCAAGCTGCCAGACTACCGCCCCCTCAAAAACCTGACCACTCTCAATGGTGAGCCATCTTCCCCTTTGCAAAGGCAGCATGCTGCGTAATTAGAAGCTCCTATGCAGGGCATGTGCCTGCATGTAATCATTTTCTTATGCGGGAGTCTTTTGAGCACGTCTAGCAGACCCTCTCTGCCAAGCAGGTGAATTGCCACGCTGGACCATATTATGCTTTGACGCTGATTTATACTTCCCACAGATCTGAGACGTTTTGGGGTGAATGTTGTGAGGAGCTTATTTATCTGGTAAGCGGAAAGAAGCCCTCTGCGCTCAAATAAGTCAGCAATTGCTAGTCCTTTTCTTCAGGGTTCTTGTACGTCAATTTCTGTTGTGCCCCTCATTCTTGAACCTCTCCATTCACTCCATCAGACTCTTTATGTTTTTCGCGTTAGCTACTCTTCTTTATATATCATGGGATTTTGATGCTAAGAGGAATAGTTATAGACCATCTTCTGCTGGCTCCCAATTCTCGTGTTTCCCTCAGCTGCACTCGGCTGACTACCGCTCCCTGGCTTGTTGCTCCAAGTTTGCACGCTTTCCTTGATGACAAACCGCCTAGCAGCAAGGCACCTCATATGATCGGACTGGCCTCCTTGCACTCTCTGGCGTGCAGGGAGGCGTACGAGGGCGTGCGTGGGGTGTACGACGCCAGCTACCTGGAGTACCACCTGGGGGTGGTGGACCACCTCGCGCGCCTGGGCATCCACACCATCCTGGACATCCACCAGGTGAGGACGCCCCCCCGCACCTGCGCAGCCCCAGCCCAGCGGCTGCTGCAACCAAGCGGGCAAGCAGGCCAGGGCTGCCTGCCCTCTCATTGGGCTATTCTACAGGCTGAAGTCCACAAGACCTGGACGTCCTGGCTCCGCCGCGCTGACGATGGAAGGCCGGCTGCTGCTGCTGCAGGATGCATTCTCCCGCTATACGCTGGGGGGTTGCGGTGATGGCTTCCCGCTGTGGGCCATCCCTGCCCGCTTCTCTCCTGCGGCTCCGGACAACTCCCTCCAGAATTGCTCCCGATGGGGGCCGAGGCTGGTCACGGATCAGCCCACCCGCCGTGTTTTTGAGGCCTTCTACAAGTGAGTGGGCTTGTGCAGCAGGAGCTGCGGCCAAGAGCCTAGACATGGCTTTGGAGGGCCTGCCCACTGGCGCCATCGCTCAAGAATACTGCTATGCAGGTTGAGGAGGATGAGAGTCTCCACAAACAGAGCGGGGGAAAGGCATCCTGAGTGTACTTGCATGCCGCTGTTTGAACTTGTCGATCTGCCTTCTCCGACATCCTGGTTTGTGCCACCCTGGCAGCAACGAGGGCGGCGTGCGAGACAGTTACCTGGCCCTGGTGGAACACCTGGCGGGCGTGTTCCGCACGCGGCCGTCTGTCATTGGCTTCGACCTGCTCAACGAGCCCGTGGGCGACGAGGTGCGCCACGTGGCCCCCCTCTACACCGACGCAGCCGCCCGCGTGCGCGGCGCCAACAGCAGCGCGCTCATCCTGGCGACCCCCGGCTTCCTCGTTGGCTCCGGCTTCGTGCCCACGCGGCTCCGCCCGCCGCCCGTGGACCACGCCGTCTTCAGCCCGCACTTCTACAACTTCGTCAGTGAGGACCCACCTGGCAAGCGCAGCGCAGCAAGCCTCCTCGTCTCTCAGCTGCGCCTGCGCACATGTCTGGACAGCGTGCAGGCAAGCCCCGCTGCTCCAGTCCTGATTGCCTGCCGGGTTCGTGCTGTGCAGACCTTGCTGGCGGCTACGACTTTGGTGTGTACACGCGCTCGGTGCTGCGGCGGCTGCTGGCCGTGTCGCGCTCATGGGGCGAGCCGCTGTTCTTGGGCGAGTTCGGGGTGTTCCACGGCCGCTTTGCCGACCTGTTTGCCGCCGACATGTACCGCTTCCTGGACGACAACTTCCTGTCCGGCTGTCAGGTGCACCCGCTTCCCATACTCGACATTCCAGATTGTGGAAATGTGACTCCGTATTGTGTCGTCACTGATATGATACACTCTGTTGTTGCATACGCCCCCAAAACTGCTGTGGCGCTTGCCCCCGCTCGTCGTGTGCGTGGCTGTCTGGCTGACCCCGCAGCTGGCGCGTGCAGTGGAGCTACACCACCAACTGGTCCCCCGACAAAAAAGATGGTTGGAACGGGTGAGCATCGTACCGCCACCAGACCCTCTCTCCAAGGAACAGGTTCTGCCAAATTGTTCTGGAGTGCGGACCCTGTTAGCTTACCCGATCGGAACTTGCCTGTGGTCTTGCCCCTGGCTTTGCGCCTGGCTGGATAGCATGTCCTTGTTGCCGCCGCTCGTGCGTCAAAGATGCTGGCCCCACTCCGCCATTCCCTCGCCGCCTTATGTCCACCTCTGACTCGTTGGCCCGCACCTGGGCCCCCTCTGTCTCAGCGAAGATTTGTCCGTTGTGGCCGGCGGGGTAACGCGGGGCTTCCCCTTCACGCCATCTCCTCGAGTTCTTGCGGGGACCCCCCTTGTCGCTCGCACCGTGCCCCACGTCTCGTACGAGCTGTCGTGGCGCAGCAACGGGGCACCACGGACGAGGGCCGCCGAGATTTATTTTCCTCTGAACGAGTTCTGCGGTTCTAACGGATTTGCAACTATTGAGGCATCCCCGTCGCTGGAGTGTGGGTATCAGGATGCATACTCTCTCCTGTGTAATCAAACAGCTGTTGCAGAGGGCACGCTCTCGGTGCGAGTAAATTGCTAGGATAGAGGTTTCATTAAAACGCGCTCTCAAGGTGTTGTGGTACGTTATTTCCAGTGACACGTGCCAATGTGAACTTGAGATAACAGGTTTTGTACGTTGTCGAGAGCATTCAGAGCCCCTGAATGTCATGCAGCAATCTGTTAGCCTAGGCTGCCCGATCAATCAGGATCAAGATCCATGTTGTTGACGTACTATTGATAGGTGAGCAATCAAGGATGCAGCCGGTCACCATAGGCCGCACTGCATGCTTCGGGAACTCGGTAGTACAATAGTAAGATTAATCAAGTCAGTAAGTCAATAAGCAAGACCCGGACTAAAGTAAGATTGAGGTATGATGCTTGAAAGAGGTCCAGCCTGTACAATATTGAAGCTCGCCCGGTTGAACTATTCTTTTTCTTGTCAGGATTCAGTGCTTGACTCTGACCTCCACTTCAACCAGTGGTCAAGCCCGTCTTGACTTGGATCAAGCATTGAATAGGGCAGGGCCGCTTGAAGCATATATGTGCTGCATCAAGTTTGCGACGCTCCTTGGACAATTCAAGAAGTCATGCACTACTAATTCATAAGATCTGACCTAGGGAAGTTGCTCGCTGCCCTTCATTCATGACTCAGCCTGCATGATGATCGCACGCAATATAGGTTCAAGGCTACAGTAGCGGCGGACAATTTTTACCCGCTCGTCAATATTATATCATTGCTATAGTACAGAGTTGCATATGCCATGTGTGCATGCCGCCGGCAGTGATATGGGCATTCAATCCCTTAATATCATAAACCTACAGGCACGCCGTTCGCGACTAGCTCGAGTTCATGTGCAATCATGAATGTGCAAATGAATAGGACGTCCATGCAGTTTCAAGCTCTGGCATGAAAGCCGATGATCGGCTGCATGTTTCTTTGTACCATATGCACAAGCAACCTATGGTGGGTATCGGCGGTCTCGATCGCGCGACGGTCCGGTCACAAATTTGAATCACCGGTGTGTCGCGTCGCGACAATTACTGTACGCGGTACTGACGACCGTGCAGACCGGTACTTGAGAATCCGGTGCGAGTTCATAAATTAGAATCTGTCTGACATTCCGATCGTCAGAAACTTCCGGAGTTTCCGGCGGTACGGTACCGATCAAGTCTGAGAGTACGTGAAACTTGAAAATCATGGTTTCGATCGGAAGTTCCGACTCGAACCACCCTAGAGTACCGCGGTACCTAACTTGAAAGGAGAGTGCAGAAGATGGAAACGGGAGTGTAGGGAATGGCGCTTTTTAGAAGCAAGCAATGGCGGCCAACTTTGCAGCCACGATGGTGCTTCTTCCGATTTGTCCTCAACATAACAAGATGTTGGAGCTTCGAAGGAGCCTTCATGACGCTCTCCCAACATTTTTTTCTGCTTGTCAGAGGTTTTTATAAGCTGCATATGGCTCTTCTTTGCGTGCCAATTTGATGCTCCTCTCAAAGTGTAAAACCTGACACTGTCTAAGAATCTCCTCACACTTACTTACGGCCCGGCAAAATTTTTCTGAGTATTTGTACCGCCCGAGTAACATAAACCTGAGTAGCCGTGACGCGAACCGCCGGTAACACTGACGATATTCGATACGCGCTAAATCGATTTTGTGGCGGCCGGAGTCGGAATCGACTCGGCCGGTACCCACCATAGGTAGCTTGTGTGTCGGCATATACTTTAGATCGAAGATTCCTTTGGCATATGCTGTCATGGCGCGTGTCACTGTGCAATACCTCCCAAGGTTGGTTTTGGTTCCGACTAATACTATAAGCGTCAGTTGTACGCCACAACCAAACTTGAAACGTACAGCTAGGCCATGGGTTTCTCGTGTATACAAGTACAAAGATTTTCCGAGTCATCATGCAATTGCGCACGCCTGCAAAAACGTATGCTCCGGCTAGCCTGAACCTTGGAAGAGTATTACACAACGTACCCCTTTCGAATTTTACTTGGCAACGTCAATTTGACTAGCCAGTCATATTGTCAATTGACAGGATTGCACGTAGACAATACCGGCCCTGGGCTCGCGCCATATATACTACAAGCCGCCAAGCCTATAAAAAATTCCCTGCTTAATTGTCCATACGTACACGTACATATATGCACTCGGTGCATCAATCGATCTTAGCAACCAGGCATAATCGCCGCGACGTGCCATCTTAAACAATAATCAATCAGTCGCAATATCCGCATGTGCCGCGTTGCATGGACTAGAACCCTCTAGCTAGGCGGCCGCGGAGAGCTGCAAATTTCGAGCAGCGCGCCTCGTTGCAAGCTATACTATGACTGCATTCGGCGGTGATTAGTGCATTGAGCGCAGGCTACTGATTGTGCGCATACTTGAATTCCACCTCCAGTGCCAGGTGGCTTGTGCGCACGTCGAGGCTGTGTGGAAAGCGGCACCAATCTTGCGGTTGGAGCTCGCGCGCGCGCGCATATATGAATCGTCTACCTTGTGTCACTACCGCTGGACGGTAGTACCGTCCAGCAGACTGAGAAGTAGGTCAGGCACTACGACAGGCGAGTCCCATGAAGTGCGGGGCTGGCTGCCATCCACCCGCACTCGAGTCATACTTCATGACCAGCCAGGCAACCAACTTGCCAAGATTGTATATGAGCGTAGAAGTGTGATTCTTGGACCTAACATGCACCCGCCCGGGGACCGGTGAATTAATGCATGACGCTTGCTTCTCTAAGATCCGATGACCCTCAGTGGGCTAATCAATACCGCGTGGCCGCGGGTCCCAGTATATACAGCACAAGCATACATGGCGGGTCAGAAATCCGAGATGAAATGCTCCGTCTCGTTAGATTTTCTTGGCGAAGGAAAGATGTCGTCTGCCTTGTTGCATAGCCGTTAGTGCCTCCTCAATCAGAATATGCAACACGCTTGAAAATTGCTCGGTGGGTCTGTCCTTGATTTCGTTCCACCTAGCACGTGAGGACAAACAAATCATGTCAGCGCGTCAAGGAAGGCGTACGGGTGCATTGACAGGCCGCCGATTGTTCCTAGTTGCGTCTTGCTCTGCTTAGTGAGAGACAAAAATCAGGGTCTCTCGAGCAGAAAGGATGCATCGGTTGTGGCAACCAGGGGGGCCATTCGGGCAGGTAGCTTTGCCAAATAAGGTCTTACTTCGGATCCACCCAGCAACAGACCAGTGGCATAACCAATAAGCGCTCCCGGCCCCAAAGTCGTTTGGTTCGACCGAGCCCCCCTGCGCCTCACCTTTTGACCTTCTTCCGACGAGGTGTCCAGCAGGGCCACCACCGGGTCCGCCGCCTGCAGCCAGCCATCACGCGCGCACTCAACCGGGGCTGCACGAGCCACTGCCCAAAGGGGCGGAAGAGGACGCGGGTGATGGGTCCAGGCAGAGCAGGGGAGAGGCAGACCAGCCGCAGGGGGCGACCCAGGCCAGCTAGTCAATGGCAGGGCTCGAGTCGCGGCTCTCCCCAGCTACAAGCTAGAATAGGCAGAAGCTCATTGCGCAGGGTCCTTCTCCACAACAGCAATGCAACGCGCAGGCTCGCCCCCAGCACTGCGAGCGGATGAACAAGAGCAACATCTAAAGACGACTTGTGGAAAACCAGCGTGACACTGGAGCGTTGTTGCCCTCAATCACCCGGCATCACGCCCCTGAGCGTGCGAGGACGCCTCACCAGTTCCTCGGGCGTGAGGGGTTGAAAGAGGGGGTGCTGCTCCAGGGTGGTGCGCATCCACTCGCCCAGCTCCGCTACGTCCGTGATCGTGTACAGCCGCCCTGCGACAGGTAAGCGGACATGCATCTGACTACACCATGCGCCAATGACTGCCAAGGTATGTCCTCATGAACAACCGCCCTGTAATAGCCTCTTGGAAGCTGCTGACGGCCTATGCATCCACCCCGTCGTTAGTTGCGCTCAGCCGCCCTGCGCTACCACCGCGCGCCCAACACCCCACGCTGGCCACCACAGCTGGCCACAGCCTGCAATCCCAAGGAGCCGGGGCGCCGAGTGCAACAAGGGCAGCCTGTTGGAGTGGCGCTCACCGCCTGGGGCGAGGCAGTAGGCATACTCAGCGAGGAGGGCATGCGTGATGATGCGGCGGCGGTGGTTCTTTTCCTTGAAGTGCGGGTCCGGGAAGAGGAAGAACATCTTGGTGAGCTGGCCCTTGACAAACAGGTTGGGCAGGTACTTCATCGCGTTGCTCCGCATCACCGACACGTTGCCGTACTGCCCAGGGTGCGCCACGCGCAGTGCGCCGATGCGCTCCCGCACGTACTCGCTCACCTGCGCCAACGCCAGCACAGCACAGCGCGTCAAAGCGAGCGGGAAAAGACGCAAGAAGGTTTCTTGCCGCTTTTTGCACCAAGTAACAGTTGGTGGGAAATGTTACACTCCCATAGCTGTGTACCACTTCCGAGATGACGGGCCACTGGCGCACACCATGGCCAGTGGCCGTTGCTGGCGTTGGCGGGCAGGGGCCGCGAGGCGCGCGGGGGGCACACCTTGTCGCGCAGCTCCATGCCGAGCATGAGGGTGTCAGGGTAGAGCGGGGCCAGCTTCACGAGCAGGCCCCCAAAGCCGCATCCAACATCAGCAAACCGCACAGCAGGCGGCTCAACCGGGACGCCGCTGCTGGAAGCAGCAGTGGGGGCAGGAGAGGAGGTGGGCGTGGAGCAGCTGGCAGGGAGGGGGACAGCTGGCACGGGCGTGGAGGGGAAGAAGGCCGGGAAGTGGGCAGACCACGGCACATAGGTGGGGCTCAAGGGACTGCAGGACAGGAAGGAACCTCAGGGAGGAAACACACAGCAAGTTGTAACCAGTGCAATTCTTGGACAATGGGAACCGCATCTTGAAAGGACCCCTTTGCTGTTGTACACACTCTGCCGCAGGGACAGCCAGAAGTCCAGTGCGGCCACCTTACACAGGAAAGTGGGAGTCATTGAGGGGGTTGCTGTGGGCACGGGCGCGGTAGAACTTTTTTTGCGGCAGCTTGCCCTCAGTTGACCCACCCGCTTCTGGCGACCGCCCTTTCCGCTTTCCTCCTGCAGCATCATTGGCAGCCTCAGTCGCATCAGCAGAAGATCAATAAAGGAAGGTGAAGGCGCCGCAACAAACGCTGTGAGAGCGATGTTGCCCCTCGGTGTTAATTCGCTTATAGATTTCTTTTGCTCACAGTTTCGTTGTTTTACAATAGGCATGATGTTTTGCGGCACGGGGCAGCGCATATCAGCACCAAGGCCAGCATTCTAAAACAGGCTAACCAGGGCAATTTCAACGCCTCCGCCAGCAAACATTGTTTTTGCAGACATGATTACAATCTTGCAGAGTCTGCAGCTAGGAAGGTGTAAGGAAGAACGAAGAAACTTCTCACAAAACCTCTCGGACACAAGGCAGAGTCTGAATAAGCAGCATTGTTCACCTGGCCATTGCAGTGGCCCAGACGCACTACACAAGGTAGTAATACTTCAACTTACTAGTAAAACCCAAAGAACATTCGCAGCATGATTTGCGAACACCATTGCGGAGCTGGTAGGCACGATGCATACATGCAATGCTGCTGGTCTTACCTCCCATGAGTTTCTACAAGGAATCCCAGCAGGGACCCTATGCTTCACTGGTCTGCTAGGCAAGCTGCTGCTTAGCGGCGCCTGAAACTTTGAGCATCCAATCAACCGAAAATCTCCACAGTCCAGACCTGATCAAGAGCTGGAACTTGAAGAGTGTAGGCCAGGGGCAGGGGCCTCCTAGACCTCGATTGCAGGCGCCATGCAGGCATAAAAGTGCTTGTTAAATCCGTGCGATAGCGAGGGTGGTCTACAAATTAATAAAAACCGTATATCGCAGATGTCGGGTGGTCTACAAAATTGGAATCCCCGGGCGGTTGTCACAGGGAAGTACCGGGCAAACTAAAAACCTAGGATAGAGTGACCGCCACACACCCTAATGTCACTGGGAAGTGCCCGGTTGTCACTCGGTTGCCCGCGAGACCCTAATGTCACAGGGAGGGCCCGGTTGCTTCCCGGGCGGTACGCGAGACCCTAATGCTAGTGGACTTGCAGTGCTGGTTGAACCCGGGGCAAGCCGTCGCGAACCACCACCCCACCCCCTCCAATTGAGACGGTCGTGGCGAGCAACTTTGTGGGTCGACACGGTCGCGTTGCGCACGGTCGATATCGGACCGTGCGTTGCCGATCGTACGGTATACGATGCAGCCGCGGTCCAACCCTGTTGGAGTCAAATAGGCCATTTCGCACGGTCTTGACAATTTTGTCGGGAGCATCGACATCTGCGATATATGGTTTTAACTAATTTGTCCGGTCGTCGATCATCGCATGGAAATAAGCCACTTTCCTTACTCGCGCGCCATCATCATAGCTCTGGCAATATGATTGCGCCCTCATTGGCATCAAAATGGGCTAGGAGGGACACCGCCCTTCGGGCGGTATCCTCCTAGTATGGGTTCAGTGGCTTCGCGGCCCTGCCAAGACCGAACCGGCCTGAGTTTGAGGCCGATGAGAAGGTCTTTATGTCCGGTAGGGCGCCTTGGTGATTCTTTCCGGGCGCTCAGCATGACCCCGGTGCGTACCGCGGTCTGACAATCCCGTGGTTTTGGTGAAATTAGGTTTAATGGTTATATAATTTGAACTTGGTTCATGTTGCGCGCGAGCCAATATGTCCCCCACAGAATTCGCTCGCGGGCACATTTTGGACTGCATTTTGCGCACGTTTTTCCGGAGTTTTCTCACGATGCAGCTTGGCACGTGAGAAGGGGGTCTTGATTCCTACTGTCTCCTACTCCTAGCCAACCAGGGTAAGCTTAGATGAGTGTACTCGGCCTCTGTCTAGCCTAGACTCTAGAGGTACGTACCCCTTTTCCAGAAGGCATGAATCGCCCCCCCCCTCGCCTCTTCTCTGTTCGATGTCTTTCCATATACGGTTACCGGGTAAATATGCTGCATGCAAATTTAACGTATATACCGGATCGAAATTGCAGGGGGTTTTGCTCGAGATATATGATCTGGTTTTCACTCGGTAAATCAGCCCTGGGGCCCGCAGATCGATATGCAAGCAATGGAGCCTCAAGCCCCTGCCCCCCCCTTGCATGAGTTACATACAGGGGGACCAAACACCCCATGTAAGAAAGTTAGCAACATGAACCATGTGCCAGCAGCTAAACGGCTAATTGCCCGGAACTGAAGATTATAAGGGTAAGGTCACGTTGAAGCTGACCCCCTATGTTCAGTTCAGAGGGTGGGGGGTTGGGGGTTTGGAATCCTAAGGGCAGCGGGAGAGGGGGGGGGCTCGGGGTTTCCGCCACTTCCGCCATGGTCGAGCCGCGCAGGCTCGGAAATTGTTGTAATATCGGTCTGAAAATGCTGTTTTCAGGGGCAAAATAGCCGCAAAACACACATATTCATACAGCCGGAGGGGGGGGGGGCTCGGCTTATGCTTGAGTGGAGCACAGCGGGAGGGGGGGGGGTTTGGCCGTTCGGGTCTCGAGGGGCTCTGGACTGAACATAGGGGGTCCACTACAAAATGACCCTACCCTAATTATTGGGATTGAAGATCATTGAACCTCCACAGGGTCACCTTTCAAAACCCAGAGTTTGGGGTCCGGGCAACGCGCCGTTTTAGTTACATTAGTAGGAGGAATTGGAGGTAGGTTTAGGTAGGTTAACAAGCCAAAAAAGTATCAACCCACCTCTAACAATTGTATTGACCATTTCTCCAGACTAACCGAGGACCACATCGGGCTCGGGACATCCAAAATGCAATCTTGACCGTCCAGATTGGGAAAGTTCTCATCTGACGGTGCGGATCATGGTTCGCTCTGTTTCAGTGGTGTTTGGTTCCCCTGGCAACATACCGGTGAATAGGATACAGCAATTGGAATTTGGATCGAGATTTTGAAACCTTGGAACCAGGAACTTGAACTTGAACTTGAACTTTCAAATTCAACTCGAAGTGAGCCTCAGAGTCAGAGTCACAGAGAGATCACACGTTGCACAATGGCGGCCACTGCAGTCTGCAGAGGGGTGGCTGGAACGAGCACTTTCGTTGTCTCGTGCCCTGTAGGCCAGCAATGTGGTCAGGGGTACAGCCGCAGCGGGGTGGCAGGACCGTGCCACTCCCCTACCCTGCAGCGATCGGGTCCGGCGGGCGCAGCTCAGAGCGCTGCCGCAGCAGCACTACGAAGCTCCAGCTTTGCAGGCAGGCAGGTGGCAGGAAAACAATGCAGGGGGGTGGCAACACGAAAACTCACAGCGGGGAGACCCGGGGCGAGGGCGGCGGAAGCAAAGGACGACGAGTACGTGGTGACATTGGAGAAGCCGGTGGGCCTCAACTTCTATCGAGGCAACGACGGCGGAACGTACATTGACAAGATCCAGCCAGGGGGCTCTGCGGATGCCACCGGCCTGTTCACCGTGGGGGACAAGGTGCTGGAGACAAGGTGGGCCGCCCTCTCCGCCCAGCGCTGCAGATCTGGCAGCCGGAGCGCCCTTTCTCTGCCGCGCCCTGCCACACGGGAACGTGGTGTAGGTGCTTGTTGGTATGCAGCATTGCCCTTGCTGGCCTCATGGTGACTGAGCTTTGGCCAGCTGTCCGCCCAAACAACAGGCGTGCTGGGTTGATGGCATTTTTAGGGCCGCACTTGCTGCTACGAACTGGAGGCCGCCCGCTGGGCCTGGCCTAGAGCGTGCAGCGTTCCGCTCACAGCAGCTGCCCCCTCGGCAGCGGAACAGACCTTAGAGCGAGCTGCTCGCTGGTTGCGCTGGATATGGCTGGAGGAAGGAGCTCACCTCTTTGTTCTCCGATGTGAATGTGTCCAGTCTAATGATGTGTCCAGTTCATGCTTCTGGCTCCTTCTGTCCAGTTACCCAGCGCACGCACCCCGCTTGCCGCACTCTGGTCTGACTGCTCTGCTTCTTCTTCTGCACACAGTGCCGTGTTTGGGACAGAGATGTGGGGCGCCGCCGAGTTTGGGCGCACCATGTACACCATCAAGGTAGGTGCCTGCCGGGGCGCCTCCGCGTGGTGGCGCACAGCAGGAGCAGGCAGATGCGCCCGCTCTTCCGCGCCCATAGTGCCAACTAGAAGATCATTGCAGCACTTGACTCAGTGCTTGCATATTGTCGAACCCCAGCCGTGCGCATGGCCCGCCTAAGCCCTGTGTGCACATCCCAGTGCCCATAGCGTTGTTATACTGGGCATGAAGCCTTGGCCTGATGCGGTGCTGGTCGCCTGTGGTGCAGACGCGGGTGGGCAACGTCGCGTTCAAGATGCAGAAGAGGTTTGGTGAGGCCGCCCGCCAGGTTGCCACGCATTAGTGGCAGCCAGATGCCGTATGTGCACTGCCATTTGTCATTCCGTACTTGTGGCAAGGCCTGAAGGGGCGGGTGCGGGCCAACTGCCCGGCTGACACGGCGACTGGCTTGTGCTGTGCAGGGGTGAAGCAGGAGGTGGCAGGCGCATCGGACCAGTTTGTGCAGGAGAGGCGCTCCGGCAACTACGGCGAGGGCAGCAAGGAGCTCCAGGTGAGCGCCGCCCGCCCGCCGTGCATCATCGGAAAACATGTATCGCTCCCGGAGTTCAAGGCTCAGGGGGTGACAGGCTCCAGGGTGTGGCCGGGGTGGCCCGCCAAGTGTGAGCCAAGCGTTGTCGTGGCGCCATCTGCTGCATCAGGGACACGGGCAGCCATGCCAGGGGGCATCCTTTCGGTCGTCCCTTGCTGACAGGCAATGTTTCGATTGACCCATACCGTCCACTAGTTCTCCGCTCTACTTGTGCGCACACTACCCGGGCTGGACAAGCCAGGACCTCTTACGGCAGCTGGCAGACGGCAGCGTCCTGTCAATGGCGCTGCGGGTATTGGGGGCTCTGCTGACCTGCGCGTCCGCTGCCGTCCATGCAGCGGCGCAACTACCTGAAGCAGCAGGAGCTGAAGAAGCTGCGTGCCGACAAGATCGAGTCTGGCCTCAAGCTCTACAGGTGAGCCGCATCCCGCGCAAGCCCGCTCTCCTGCCCTCGAGGCGACCCTGCCTCCTGGCCTGCTGCAGCCATTGCTGGCCGGGTGGGCCGAGTGTCCCCCTCCGGGAGCGTATCTGACTGCGCGCTGCGGTGGGCGCAGGCAAGGCCAGTACGAGGCGGCGCTGGTGGAGTTCGAGACGGTGCTGGGGTCCAAGCCCACGGACCGCGAGGAGGCGGTGGCCAGCTACAACGTCGCCTGCTGCTACTCCAAGCTGGGCAACGTGAGCGCCGCGCAAGCTGCCACGTGGCAGCCACTCAGCCGAGCAGCCACTAGGCATGTCGACATGCGCGGGTCGCTGGTCTTGCGCCTGCCAGTTTCCCGTTTCAGCCGCGCATGCTCTTCGAATCTTCATGCACACTTGCGGGACGCACTCGCGTCGCCTTTGCTGACCCCGCCCGTGCTCACCTGCTCTCCTCAGGTGGAGGCGGGGCTGGACGCTCTGGACAGCGCTCTGCGGGCCGGCTTTGACGACTACAAGGTAAGCGACCCCGCGCGAAACCTGCTGCTGTGTCCAGAGCTGCTGTGTTGCCTGTCCACCCGCTACGTTGAGATTCCGTCAGCACACCAGCTGCATTCTGGTCCGTAGCAACTCATTGGTTGCAAGCTCAGGCACTGAGAGGTGACTTCCGTACACTTCTGACGCGCCCTAGCGCATACCTTGACCACTACGATATGGCCACGGATCAAGATGTTCCACTTCGTTGCCGGTGCTCACCACATTCGACTAAGAAACACATTTCATGCCTCCTCGCAGACTGTTCGGGAAGATGCTGATTTGCAGACCTTGCGGGACTCTCCAGAATTCAAGGTAATTGTTAATAAGTACGATGAGCCTTTCATAAACGAAAACGCTGTGAAAGCCTTGACGAGTGTCTTTGGCTTCCTTAAAAGATAAGACCAACGTGGTCAACTCCCATTTATTCAAGTTTGCCAGTGAAGCATTAGCTTTAGCTGAGGCTAGGGCATCCGAAGTAATGCGCTGTGGCGCGTCTGGTTGAGTTGCTTGGCAAGGTGTATAGAAGGTATATTATTGAAGGTCGTGATCTGACGGAAGTTTCTACGTCGACCGAGCAAACAAACGGATTTTGATTGCCGCTCGCTGAATCATGTGCCTCGCATCCGCCAAAACTTTCCCAAGTGGCTCATCGGATTTGTGAGGATGGACCAGTGACTCCACAGATTATATAGGGCAAACCCCCAAGTTTTGCAGCGCTCGACTAGCATAGCTGCGCGCAATCATCGGGTCGCACATGCCTGACGACATTGTTCAACTTTTCAATTGGGTCTCTGGACAGTTCCGCGACACTGCAAATCAATGATGTAGTAAGTTGCCCGTATGGAAAACGTTGGCTACATAAAAAGTGAGATTGCGTCGCCTTTTACATGACGCAAATCGACCACCGTCATTGTACATGGATCGCTCTCGTCTGCAATAATCCCATATTTCGCAAAGCGGCCATATGCGCGTTGAGCGCACATGTGCAGACGCCGTATGGATCATGACTTGTCGGAAAATATAATAAAATGGTACGCGTACGCTCGGAACCATCACGTTGTATGAACTATAATATACGTTCCGTGGACCTTAAAGGAGCCTAGGCTTTTTGCGTGGCCCGGCCCATTTTATAATGCATTATAAAACGCAAAAACGCACCGATGATCGAACCTAATTAAAGATCAAGATGCTGCATGGTCTATGTACGTTCACATAAATTAACTCGCGCTTTACAACGTTACTTGCATAAAATAAGCCCGACAAGCTAGCTCCTAGCTAGCTAAATTAATATATGTTATTGCTCGCACCCGGAACACTGAGGTTGGTGCGGCCTGGGCTTTTATTCTGAGTCCACCACTTGGTACGTCGGGCTCGGAGTGTCGCTCGATCATGGGACACTTCGAATCCGGCGTTCTGATTGGCCGAACCCACGTCAGCTGGTTGAAAGGTTGGGCCGAATCGGTAACGCAAGCCCCATTTATACTATTGATTTCGCACACATCTCTCGCGCTTGTTTGGTTATGATGTTGAAGCCATTCTGCATGCCGCGTACTGTGTGAACGAACAAAGTTTACATTAATGAACTACCATACACAGTGCATACACAATATTTGAGATATGCAAAGACGTACATTTCGATCTGATACTGGCACATGTCTGATTATGCATCATCGTCATTAGGATTGATTGCACACTCTTTGCGCGCTTTCAAGTTTTGCAAAAAACGCGAAACCTGCAATTTAGGGTTTTAGGGCTTCCGGAAACTTCGGAAACGACGTCATCATTTGCGTTTTCTGGTGACGTAAAGAGCGGGTTTTGAGGTATTGGTGCCATTTTTGGTGATGAAGTTGTGTTACATTTTCCCGGCACTTTCAGAATCTGAAAAAAAAGCCAAATTCGCAGCATAGGGTTTTAGGGTTTCTAAATTTTTTCAGAACATGACGTCA